AGAAAGAACCATCCACAATACGAAAGTTCGGGTTGTATCTGGCTGGAAGGACCAAAATATGTTCGAGTTCTTCTCGGATGCGATCGGATTTAGTGCGGAGAAACTAAGGAGCGAGACTGCGCCATGTTCTGAAAAATCTCTTATTCTCTCTCTAATTTTACGTAACTACAGAAATTCTGAAATGTGTAGTGCGTATATGAGATGATACAACAACAGTAGTCTTCTCAGTGGGAGGAATGGGATTAGTGGGGTCATTCTCTGCGGGAATGCTGGTATGAGGCGAAGAAGAATCCATCACTAGCTTGAATGAGAGGCCAGAGCGTGTGGTCATCGATTGCTGTGGGTTCCGCTGTCCTGCGAGATCCCACCTCTGCCACCAAATGTGAGGGAGCGTGAAGTTGCGGCCGAAGAGAAGATTCCTTGAGGGCCGAGGCCGAGTGCCGAATGCTAGGGCCGTTTGGCAGGCTACTTTTATACAAAAGCAGGGGGGAAGCAGGGGTGAGATGACTGATGCTCCATGACATGCAATAAAGGATGAGTCACGAAGGAGGAGGATGGTCATGTAGAAATAGGAGGCTGGCATTGCATGGGTGACCATTAGTGATAGCTACAATAGACTGGAGTAAGGAAAGGAGGAGCGCAAAGAGGTGTGAGAATATCATACAGGAACAACAGGATTGAAATCATCAGAGTCAGTCTACTTACATGCATATATGGAAAAACTAGTGAAGGCCAACTCCCTTTGAGGCGGGTGCACCCGAAGCGACTCTGGAAAGGCACGTCAGAGAGTGTGATAGCCCCACGTGCGGCGGAGTCGCCGAGGGCCGCTACCGTCTTCAGTGTTTGGGAGTGCAGCCCGAAGTGGGTGGTAGGCTCCATCTAAAGCCAGATAGCGGCACGAGACCGATAGCGAACAAGTACCATGAGGGAAAGGTGAAAAGCACTTTGGAAAGGGAGTCAAAGAGGCAGCGAAACTGTTGGGAGGGAGACACATGCAGCCGGACCGTTGTGGCCGCTTTCCTGTACTGCACAGCCTCCCCTCACACCGGTAAGTGAGACTTGAAAAGGGATCTCCATGCTCCATCCATCTGCATACTGTCTGGTACTGTCTCCGTTCCTGCACTGGCTCGCTGGTCTAGCTACGCGGCCAGACTCGTACCTTGTTTGCACCCCATTTCTCTTCCCTGCTGCATTGATGGCTGTGACCATTTTACATCTGCAATACGCTAGGTGGGCCACTCTGGTGTACATACATGTGAGCATTTGTATGTTCCTGGTATTATATTTCCGCAGAAACTGTGTGGTTGGTTTAGAGAAGGGAGGGGACTACTTTTCTTAGGAAGACATGAGACCCTTTTCTTAAATGAGAGCAGACAGACTTTTCCTCAGCCAGGAGAAAGGAGGTGTGGTTGCGGAAGAGAATCACGCGAGAGTCACAAGGTTATGAACCGTTTTGTCAGTCCGCCGATCTCAACCAGCCTAGGTAATTGTAAGCAAAAAGACTCAGCTTGTCTCTGAACAGTTCTCACGAAGAGCACAAACTCAGGTAAGGCTATTCATGCCTAGAGAACCCTTCTCAGGGGAAAATATGGGCTGTCTATGCTAGACTAGCCTCTAGTCGTCGCTCCCATTGGAGGCTGTGCCGAACACAACGCTAGTCACTAAGGCATTGCCTCTGTGCGAAGGACTGGGTACTGCAGAATCGCTAGAGGCTCGGAGGCTTGTCTACGACCGTGGTGGTTACTCAGCGTGATCTATTTGCCTAGGGGTTGGACTTAGAGCCATCGGCAACAAAGGGTCAGCTTTGACAGACTCTCAGGCACTTAATAGACTTCGCTATCACTGCCTCGTAGTTATCACCTTACCTTCGTCACCTTACCTTGTGACCATCACGTGACCTCCTTACCCGAGGGAACCTTCATCCTCTAGACTTCTTGGATTGAAGAATCTTGCCAGAACAGCCAGTCCCCTGCCCTCAAGCACTCACGATACAGTAACCTGACATGACTGTCACGTGATCCGAACGACCAGACCAGACAATCTAGCCACAGCATTTTCTCGGCTATACATGCAAACTCGACAGAACAGACAACAAAACCTGCTCGACATCCTTTTCCAAAGGTATGTCTCTAAGGATGTGGTGGTGTACGATCCTCTGTTGATGGTCAGCAACAAACAAGTTTATGTGAAACCCATGTGGCTCTACTACAATCCCAAGAATGGTTCTTTGTCCGTCTCTGAAGAGCCCCGCCATCTGTTCTTTTTTTTGCGAAACCCCTCCCTTTTCAGTTTTCACTTCGAACACGGTCGTCACCAGCTCTCCTGATAGAATGACAACATCTGCTACAATTTCTTCGTCACCAAGCCCTCTCCAGGGATTCTTGTTTGGCCGTTCTCCTTCAGGCTGCACATCCTCCCCCACCACCCACTCCAGAGTCATTGAGCCAGGTTGGAACCTCCCCCTGGGCTAATAAGGACTTGGTGGGTAGGCAACACCAGGATTTCACAATAACTTTCGACAAAACTCTTTCCATATGCATTGGAAAAGGAGGCCTAACGGGCTTGGTGGAAGAGGGTGTGGAGTCGTTGGTGGTCCCGATTGAAGAACAAGAGTTCTTCCCCCTCCAGTGCTGGCGGTATAGGCTCGTCCGGAGCCACCTCGTCATCAGAGTCCTTCTGCCCACCGTCTCCTGGCTGAGACCATGGCTCCGCTGGGGAGTATGCCCTGTCCACCAGCAAAGACATGGCCTCTGCTCTAAACTGTGAAGCCCTTCTGCTTCCAACCTTCTGCGGTGACAGCTCTAGCTGGACGCCAATAATGTTGAAGGTAGGCTCTGGAGCCACACACACATTCCAATCCCGCACTACTTCACTGCCTTCAAATGTGTAAAATTTGCCCCCAAACTGAATTGACTTGATGGGCCACACACTCCTTGCCGTGGAGAAAAGTTGGTTCCCCCTCCGTCGCTGGTAGGGCGGGGGTATGGTGTTCCCACTTTCTGTAGGGTTCATCTTCAGAGACACGGCGGTCGAGGACTTGACAGAGGCAGCGACTGACGAGGAGAAATATCGAGGAGGCGAACCCCAGGCAGCTTGACCCCAGGCAGCTGGAACGCACGACGAACAGACTCACTTGGTGGTGGCAGCGGCGGAGAGGAGAGGAACCCCAGGCAGCTCGAAGCAGACTTGACGGCGGCAACGGCTGGAGAAGAGAGAAATCCGAAGGCAGCTCGAATTGTGCTGGCATACGCAACGAGCGTTTTTTTACCACGCGCTCAGCTCTAGTCTCGTGCCTGCACCCAGATCTGATTGCGAGCTGAAATTCAGAGCTCGAAATGCGTTAGGACCAAGAATTTTACCTGACGCTCCTCTCCCGGTGGCCGGGTAGAGAGTCTATGTAGCTGAGCGTGGTAAACAAAACGCTAGAACAGTGAGTCTGACCTAAAGAAATAGGGAGTTAGTCTGCCCTAAAAAAACAGGGAGATAGACTGATCCAAAGAAACAGGGAGTGAGTCTAACAGGAGTGAGTCTGACCTAAGGACACAAGGAGTGAGTCTGACCTAAAGAAACAGAGAGTGAGTCTGACCTATAGAAACAGCAGGTCCCGCCCATCGTCACACCACTCAGTGCTATCGGTGCCAAAAGATGGTGGAACATGTAAGGCCGCACTCATCCATCCTTGACTCTCATTGATCCCAGTGCACATCACTGAATTGTGCTTGGACCATGAGAGTGCACTAGATATGATGCAATTGGTAGAGAGTGCACTAGGATCAATGTGGCACAAATTAGAGGCTGTTGACTGAAGCACAAATTAGAGGCTGTTGAGAGAGAATTGGCTAAACTTAGAGAGAAGAAGTAAAGGGAGGGTGATAAGGGACCGGTTATCTGTTTCCTAGAAACAGTCAATAGGTGACATTCCACTTCCTGTTACATTTCCATTACCACGACAACTACACCACCTCCTCCTTCGAAAGGATTATGAGAGTGCACTCACATTGATCCCAGTGCACTCATTTTTATGGTGGTCAGATTTTATCATTACCTAGACTTTTTGGCACGACATGGATGACAATGAAAAACACATGAGTGTCCATATATGAGTGAAATTCAAGAGTGAGTTAGTTTTGGCACTAATCACCCGCCATACGTGGAATCTTGCTTCCTTGTGGATTGGTTCTTGCTGCTCGCTTCCTCTTGCCGCCTTCTCTCTCATCACCATTGCTCCCACCCCCATCGCTCCCATCCCCATCATCACTCCAATCATCATCGCTCGAGTGGAGAAAGGGCACAGTGTCTGCATGGGGCATTTTTGGCTTCACCCCAGCAATGATGAGCTTTGCATTGGAGTAGCTTTCCAAAGCACGTCATACTCCTTGAAGTACAGCAAGGGACGGTAAACAAACTTGTTCCCAAAAATGTTCAGAAGAGGTACATCTGCTTTAGGGAATTCTGTAACCTCCGAAATTGCCATCAACTCGAGCATAGGCTGGATGAGCGCCTTAATTTCTTCAGATGATTGATCAAAACTTGCACTTGCACTGTTTGATGCAGCGAGACATTGAACTCTTTGCCTCAAGGAGGCTTCCCAGGTAAATCGACACATCTTTGGGGGGCACGTAAATGTATGGTTTATTACCATTGCTTTCTGAGCCAACAACAACGTCAATGCTGCCACCAACCAACTTTTTATTTGCGTGGTACTCGAGGTGCACTTCATTGTATGACACTGTGGGGAACTCAATGAACGTGGTTAGCACACCTTGCAGATATGGCTTGTCCACTTTGATGGCAGCACAATCGTCACTGAAATGTAATTGGAAGATGCTCTCCAGCACGGCAGAGAGTTGATTCGACAGACTCTTTTGCAAGTTTTCCAAGTCAAGGCCAATGACGCTTTTCAGCGGTTTCGATACCGACATAACAGGTGCCTGAAACTTTTCCTGTGCACCTTTAAAGCTGAGTTGAGTCTTAAATAGTGTCTCTTCATGTCCTCTTAAACTCAGTGCCACCAGACCCAACCTCTTGACTTTTTTCCAACATTCTGCAAGGCTTTGGCCTTCAGTTATATAGTGGATCCCAGAACAGTCGTTGACGTGGTTTATGCAGGTGAGTTCATCAGCCATTTTCCTGGAGTGAGTCTGACCTAAGGACACAAGGAGTGAGTCTGCCCTAAAGAAACAGGGAGAAAGACTGATCCGAAGAAACAGGGAGTGAGTCTGACCTAAAGAAACAGGGAGTTCAGGGAATGAGTCTGACCTAAGGACTCAAGGAGTGAGTCTGACCTAAAGAAACAGAGAGTGAGTCTGACCTAAACAAATAGGGAGTTAAGAAACAGGGAGATAGACTGATCCAAAGAAACAGGGAGTGAGTCTGACCTAAAAAAACAGGGAGATAGACTGATCCAAAGAAACAGGAAGTGAGTCTAACAGGGAGTGAGTCTGACCTAAGGACACAAGGAGTGAGTCTGACCTAAAGAAACAGAGAGTGAGTCTGACCTAAAGAAACAGGGAGTTAGTCTGACCTGAGTTAGTTTGACCTAACAAACAGTGAGTCTGACCTAAAGAAACAGGGAGTTAGTCTGCCCTATAGAAACAGGGAGATAGACTGATCCAAAGAAACAGGGAGTGAGTCTAACAGGAGTGAGTCTGACCTAAGGACACAAGGAGTGAGTCTGACCTAAAGAAACAGAGAGTGAGTCTGACCTAAAGAAACAGGGAGTTAGTCTGACCTGAGTTAGTTTGACCTAACAAACAGTGAGTCTGACCTAAAGAAACAGGGAGTTAGTCTGCCCTATAGAAACAGGGAGATAGACTGATCCAAAGAAACAGGGAGTGAGTCTGACCAAAAGAAACAGAGAGTGAGTCTGACCTAAAGAAACAGGGAGTGAGTCTGACCTAAACACATAGAGTGAGTCTGAGATAGAGAAACAGGGAGTGAGTCTGACCTAAAGAAACAGAGAGTGAGTCTGACCTAAAGAAACAGGGAGTGAGTCTGACCTAAAAGAAACAGAGAGTGAGTCTGACCTAAAGAAACAGGGAGTGAGTCTGACCTAAACACATAGAGTGAGTCTGAGATAGAGAAACAGGGAGTGAGTCTGACCTAAAGAAACAGGGAGTGAGTCTGACCTAAAAGAAACAGAGAGTGAGTCTGACCTAAAGAAACAGGGAGTGAGTCTGACCTAAAAGAAACAGAGAGTGAGTCTGACCTAAAGAAACAGGGAGTGAGTCTGACCTAAACACATAGAGTGAGTCTGAGACAGAGAAACAGGGAGTAAGTCTGACCAAAAGGTGTTAGCTACTCTCGACCCCATATTATCATCAATCCTTATTTGTTGACTAGGGAGACAAGGCCACAAGAAAAATCCTGCGAAAGCATATAAAAAGGAAAGCACTATGATAATATTGAGCATAGAAGACATTGTGAAAATGCTGATACTCTCGACCCCTAGTATATTTTTGGTTTGTGTGCCTAGGCAACAGTATAGGGATTGTGTGATATGGGGTCTCAGTCTCACACCTAACTGATTTTCTGAACTACCTTTATTCAGTAGCCATTGTTGTCACGTGACATCACTTGATATTATTTAGATTGGCATAGATGACAGATCATTTATGTGTGTTACACACCTAAATACCAAATTCTCCAGCACTGTACATTTTTTTGGAGCAGACATGCATATATAAAAATGGTGTGGTTGCAAACAAATTGGGTAATGCAAGCATGAGACCATCATGATATAAACACTTCAAAACAGAGGCCATGGGTGTGCAACTTAGATGCCATCAACCACCAGTAGTATAACAATTACTAACCCATGTACAGAACATCCAATTGTCATTTTCAGCACCCACTCTGTATAGTTTTTCTCTCTAGTTGAAAGTGTGCATGCGTATGTGGTTGATAAAGTATGCACACACAAGCACGCAGGCTGCCATGAAACACTACACCAGTTGATAGCATCTGCCTTTTTCCTTCTAGGAAGTTTCAAAACATTTACTCCTCTAGTTCACGAAATGACACAGAATAAAAACGCAAAGGAAGAGAGTATGATTAGTTGTTGTTATGTGTATGGATGGGCCTGAGCTGTATGTAGACCCTGGCTTGATTCTGGCTCTAGTGGGAAATCAGAGGACGACTATTTCACTTAGTCACCCTATAATTATTATAGTCTTCCTCCCTGAGGCACTGTGTGCACGTTTTTCAAGTTACGGAAACTAGCTACATGAAAACAATACAAGAAACAACAGGAATAAAAAAAAAACTGTAATATACGGACCAATAGCGCAACGCGTGTTCTAGGGGCCTGTGGGATCTAGGCTAGGTATAGGCAAGGGCGAGGGGCTAGGGCTAGCTAGGGGCCAGGGCTAAGACTTAGCTATGGGCAGAAATACGCTACCGTGATCCGTCTTGTAGCGCTGCATTCCTGCCCGTCTGAACGAGAACTCCTACGTAGTCGCCGGCTGCCAGGCACACTGCAGACAGCGATGCCAGCAACAGCAAAATCTTCTCACTTGTCGCTCGACGTGATCACAGAGACACGGAAACAACCGAACGGAGACGCCAGGTCCAGTCCTGCGTTCCGTGGGCTTTGTGCATGTCCCCTTAGCTCTACCCCCTAGCCCTAGCCCCTCGCCGGCTATTATACCTAGCCTAGATCCCCACAGGCCCCTAGAACACGCGTAGAATGCGTTGAAATCGCTATTGGTCCGTATATTACAGTTGATCTTATCTGTTAGTAACTCACAGGCGTCTTTTCAGTCAGGCGTCTCTATTTGATTTTCAGTATTTCAAGTCTCAACATCTCCCGGCAGAGTGTCGCAGGGCCCCATGTCTTAGAGGCAAAAAACTGGTTTTACAGGTAGGACACTGGTATTACCAGTTATATGGCATGTGCCGGATGCATAATGCAGTGGGCTCATGTGGTCAGCGGGTGGTCACTTGGTGTGTGGTGGTTTCATCTTTGAGTGTGGGAGGGTTGGCATGGATATGACCTTCCTATCTCTCAACTGTCAAGCCTGCACACCTCCTGCATCAGCTCTCCGGCTCAGGCTATGGTGCTACTATTGACGGCAACTTCTGTGGCAGCCCCATGTACGCGGATGATCTGGCACTGATCGCAAACAGCAGCTCTGATCTTCAGGCTATGCTTGAGATAGTTTTCTCCTACTCTGTTCAGTGGCGTTACCAACTCAATGCCCAGAAGTCTGCCATCCAAATCTTTGGTGAATCAGCAGCAACCCGTGCCCGAAATCGCCCATCTCGTCAGTGGATCATAGGTAGTGAGGTCATTCCTGAGAAGGACTCCTACCACCACCTTGGAATTCTTCGCTCTGTCTCCCACTCATCCAACGCTCGTACCTCAGAGCGCTGCAGCTCTTCTAGAAGGGCATTCTTCTCCCTCAACGGTCTTGGATCTCGTGCATGCTGCCTCCACCCACTCACATCCCTGCGCCTGTACAAAGTATACTGCCTCCCCATTCTCATATACGGGTGCGAAGTGTGGTCTCTCACACAGGCAGAGTTGATGTTACTCGAGAGAACCCACAGGAAGATCCTGCGCACGATAACAGGGATGCCCATCCGCTGTAAGTCACTGGCCCTCCAACAGTCACTGGGAATCGCGAACATCCGTACCCTGATTCACCGTCGCCAGCTGAACTTCGTACACTCTTTCTCCACTATCCCCCATGACTCTCTGCCTCGCATCGTCTTTGAGAAGCGGTTGTCTGGCCCTCTCTCCCCTCGTAGTTCTCTATCCACATTTCAATCTCTAGTTGATCTTTATGACCTGCCATCCACCCCCAGCATCCTAAGCAGCCAAGTCTCCAGAGCTCAGTGGAAGGGCCAGATCCAGCGGATTACCACCATCTCTGACTTTTCTATCTACGCTGATGAATGTGTCCATCTCCCTCTCTCCAGTTTTCTTCCTTCTCGTCTCGGGAAACCGTATCCTCACTGGCAGGTCACCCTAGGCTTCCCCATGCTGTCTAGAAAAAACATCTCCAGGATGAAATTACTGCTAAATTGCTTCGGGCTAGCATCTGACGTCTGTCGCTTCCAGACAATCCCCTCCTCTACAGACTTCTGTCCCCTTTGCAACTCAGCAACTGAGGACGCCTCCCACCTCATAGCGAACTGCCCTGCCCTAACCCTTGCACGTGGCGAATTTGACCTGCCCCACCCTCTTGCGTCCGTACGTGCCTCGGACCCGACCCGTTTCGTCTCGCTCATCCTCGGCACCGAGTGGTTGGACGACACCCCCGTGCAGCACGCGTGCATTGAATTTCTCCACCATATTCTATCTGCTCGCACTCGTCTTCTACCCTGATTCACTTCATCTTCGCCCGCACCTAGGGCTACTCTCCTTCAGTGGAGGTTACAAAGAAGAAGAAGAAGAAGAAGAAGAAGAAGTGGTGAGGTTAATGAGAGACATGGTCAATCTTTGGGTTTGCAAGTGCAGATAGCAAGTGGGTGTCATAGTTTTATTTCCCTCAATGCTAAGAAGCACTGGGCGAGCTACTACTAGTATATATACCTGTATACACGAATTAACCCGGCTTTCTTACTCATGCCCCCAGACACCCCAACTTACTCATGCAGCACTAGTGCCCAGGTGACTTCTGCAACTGGGGCTGATTATTTACTGCTAAGATTGTTGGTTGAGGTACTCCGAGCAATATTGCAGCATGTATGTCCATAAACGACTGAACATGCTATGAGGTGGAACTCCCACACACAAGCTAATCAGCTTATTTTATGATAAACCGTCATTAAGAGTTATTCTCCCATCCTTTTATATATTATTATGCATGCAAAAGATTGACTTTATCTATTAAAAGTCATGCTCTATCACACTTGCTCACCTCCCTCACAGAAAAAAATTCCAAAGTTGCCTGAGGTTTTTATGTGTAATTGGTAGGCTAATTGTGATGGTAGTCCTCACTCACTTCCTTTATCGGTTCCTGTGTGAATGTCACAGTGCAGTATTATACTTTCATTCATGAGGCTTGGCAATACCAGTGACTGCCCATACCATTGAAATCACTATGCAACCGAAAACCTGAGCCCGGTATGCCAAGAGGCTGCTTACAGACATGTTGTCGTTTAGCATCTATGAATTTATAGTAGAGGGAATATAGGGACAGTAAAAAAGGAAGGGAGACAAGACAGGGATGGGATATGAAGCATAATTATTATAATAATAATGTCCACATTTTGAGGTGTGTTATATTCCCCAAGCCATTCGTAGAATGTTCTCCTCTCAGTTTTATATACATTTGTGTACATGTCTCTAAGTGGGAGTGGGGCAAGCCCATGAAACTTAAATTATAATGCCCGAGGCTCTTTGTCGTTGTTTATAAACATGTTATGTGATGGTAAGGATGCAATACACATGTGTACCAAGTTTGATGTCTATGTCTTCTACTATTAGCAAGTTTGGAAGAAACATGTCTGAGGCTATTTGTTGTTGTTTTTTTACAAACATGTAATCATATTTGGTAGGATGAAAACACATGCTTACGTTTCATATCCATATGTGCTTTCATTATAGTGAATATCAACATACATTGCCTGAGGCTATTGCACAATTGTTGTGTTTTTGTTGTTGGTGATGGAATGCATATGTATACAAACTTTATTTACATAGCTGTTAATTAATTGTTTTCGTCAAAATCCCGCAGAAGTAGCTCGATAGAGCCAAGCGCGGGGGTCACGCCCTCTATTTTCGGACTATGGGCAGTTAAGCGCCCATACGCGCATGCGCCACAAAACTTCTGCAAAATAAACACTTGAAACTTATTAGTTGCAAAATGAACACTTGAAGTGGAAAGTAGGTTGTGACGCCTGGCTAGGCTTCACTGACACGCAAATACAGTGGAACCAGGAGTTGCAGGTTTCACATTCCATCCACTCATACGCTGTAGGGTGCTGGCATGTTTTCAAAAAGCAACAACTTGACCCTGAAGGAGAGTAGGGTAACTAATTAAAGGTGCAAAATGGTTGTACATTTATGTGCTGAGCCTGAATGTTTCTGTCCTTGTCCTGAACGTTTCAGTCCTGATTCGCTGTCTGACAGAGCAGCAGCTGACTGCAGTCTAGCTCCTAGTGTTGTGGGATAGATGTGTAAAACGTATATCAATATGTCTAGAGTATCCACTAAACCTGGACGTCCTGAACGTTTCTGTCCTCATTCGTTGTCTGACAGAGCAGCAACTGACTGCAGTCTAGTTCCTAGTGTTGGGGATAGATGTGTAAAACGTGTGTCAATACGTCTAGAGTATCCACTAAACCTGGACGCCCTGAACGTTTCAGTCGTTGTCCTGAACGTTTCTGTCCTGATTCACTCTCTGACAGAACAGCAGCTGACTGCAGTCTAGTTCCTAGTGTTGGGGATATATAGATGTGTAACACATGCGTCAATACGTCTAGAGTATCCACTAAACCTGGACATCCTGAACGTTTCTGTCCTGATTCGCTGTCTGACAGAGCAGCAACTGACTGCAGTCTAGTTCCTATTGTTGGGATGTGTAACACATGTGTCAATACGTCTACAGTATCCACTAAACCTGGACGTCCTGAACGTTTCTGTCCTGATTCGCTGTCTGACAGAGCAGCAGCTGACTGCAGTCCAGTTCCTATTGTTGGGGATAGATAGATGTGTAACACATGTGTCAATACGTCTACAGTATCCACTAAACCTGGACGTCCTGAACGTTTCTGCCTGATTCGCTGTCTGACAGAGCAGCAACTGACTGCAGTCTAGTTCCTAGTGTTGGGGATAGATGTGTAACACATGCGTCAATACGTCTATAGTATCCACTAAACCTGGATGTCCTGAACATTGGTTACAGTGTAAAATATATTAATAACCTTGGTCTGGGACATGTAGCCTCGAGAGACACCTCCAGTCATCGTCACTGTCTTCAATATCTGCAGGAAAATAATTTAGATGTAAAAATTTGGCACTCTGACAGTTGTTTCTCTATGCTATGTAGTATATACCTGAGTCAAGTGTTGATGTAGATGGAAGGTCTCTGTCACAGGAGTACTTTGTCTGCAACGCCTCAATCCTGGAAACACATCAGTGCATGTTGCAGTGTGCTTCAGCGCAAATGGCTCATGGTAGCTATATACAAAAAATACACAGTGGGTATACACCCACACACCTAATCATCTGGTTTTGTATGTACCTGCCAGCTTACTACATACTCCAGACTTCTTCTGTCCTGCAAGTGTAATACACGTAATTTAATATTTGCACCAGTGACTAGAAGGGTTATCACACTAAGCTGTTAAAACCACTGTCAATGTAGCCATTCTTACCTAGCGAGACCTTCATGGTGTCTCTAAATTTAGCTTCTTCTCTCTCCTTCTTTTTTCTTTCCCTCTCCTCCTTCTTTCTTTGCTTCTCTTCCTTCTGCCTCTCTTTTTCTTTCACCAGAGCTAAGTTTTCAGTGCTGGTTAGCACTCTTCCACTAGACTTTGGCTTCAATGTTTCAGCCCTAGCTGGTGGTGAGGGGTAACTAAGGAAGCTGCTGACTGCAGTGCTATTGTATGGCAATTGCTGCAGACTTGACTCAGGGTGGTATCGAGACAGCCACAGGTTGTAACGCTTGTCGCCAGTCAGGTCATAGCCATTCTCAAACCGCCTTTCAAAGAGACTTATCTCCTCATCGGTAAAACCAAAGGCAACTCGCTTTTTTGACTGGCACATGGGGCTATGCATTGGTAGGAAGAGACCTGTTTCTTGGCTAAGCTTTGCAACAGAAGTGTCCAGAGAAAGCACATTCCGATTTAGCGGATAAATGCCGGTAACTCTGAAGCCAGCGGTGACATTTGCCATCGTCATACTTCTGCTCCAGATTGGGGGGTCTTTAGAAGCCACAAAAGTATCCACCTACTAGCACCGACCCAAGTGCAGCGTGGGACATACAAGGGCTGGACTGATTCACAAATGGAGCAGGCCCTCCAGGCAGTGGTTGCTGGCGGTGCATCTATACGGAGGGCGGCGTTAGATTATCATGTGCCCAAGTCGTCTCTTGCTGACCGCGTTAGCGGCCGAACGGTGCCAGGAACTAAGAATGCAATGGAAGAGGGTGAACTAGTTCAATTTCTCTCAAGGTGCGCATCCATAGGGTACGGAAAGTCACGTAAAGAAGTGTTGTTGTTAGTGCAGAGCGTTTTGGACAGTAAGGGGGTACAGAAAACTGTGACTAATGGTTGGTGGGAGAGTTTTTGTCGACGTCACCCCAATCTGTCCCTCAGGAGTGCTGCTCCATTGTCTCTGGTAAGAGCCCAGGCTTCAGACCCAGAAATGGTTAGTCGATACTTCGATCTGCTAGAGCGTACGCTAGAGGAAAATGAGTTGACAGACCATCCTGGGCAGATTTTCAACATGGACGAGAGTGGCATGCCACTTGACCCGAAGGCGCCAAAGGTTGTGGCAGAACGAGGTAGTTCAGTTACTACAGTTGGGTCAGGGAACAAATCCCAAGTAACAATAGTAGGGTGCTGTAGTGCTATCGGCCTATGCATACCTCCAATGGTCATCTGGGACCGTAAGACACTTGCACCGGAACTAACCATTGGTGAGGTCCCAGGCACAATATATGGACTTTTGGGCAATGGGTGGATGGACATGGAGCTTTTCCACATGTGGTTCTGTAACCATTTTTTGAGGTACGCTCCTTCAGTTCGACCCCTTCTCTTACTGATGGACAGGCACTCCTCACACTATTGCCCTGACACCATTCGTCTTGCAGCACTTGAAAGGGTTATCCTTTTCACATTGCCTCCGAACACCACCCACATGTTGGAGCCTCTGGATAGGGGGTGTTTCGGACCACTCAAAATGGCATGGAGGGAGGAATGTCACCAGTACATGAGTGAGCATCCAGGAAGAGTTGTTACAAAATTTCAATTCTCAACACTTTTCAGCAGAGCCTGGACCCTATCTTTTAATGTTGGGTACTGCAGCATCTTTGATTAGGTGTGCAACTGCAGATACATCTACATAAGAACAAAGCTTATCACACAGCCCAGAGGTATGCCCCTATATACACACCAATTTCCCCTAACTCCACACACATTGTCCTGCAAGTGAATTTTTCAGGCTTCAGCAAGTGAATTTTCCAGGCTTCTAGCCTTTAGTTGCACAGAGAAGCATAAACTATGGCAGTGGTTTTATGCATGATGCATAGTCCACACCATTTTGTATACAACTGCAATCCACAACAAAAAAAGTTCACTTGTGTGCTATCCACCTATTCAAGTATGTATCCACTCCACATACACATACCACATCTATGTCGATCATAATGATGCTGCACATCTTGCCTCCCTTTAGTGCATAGATGCACCCCAGAGTTAGTATTTCACAATGTTTCCTCGCATGCTTTACAGTAAAATAACTCACAGAACAAATACAACGGCATACACAGAGCAAAACTCGACTGTTTGGCAAGAAGGCCTGCGCAGAGCCACCTGAATGAGAAAATAATAAAGAAACAAAACATAAACACAGCAAATTTCAGTGCGAACCGGAGTCTGCGTGCAGGAAAACAAGGATTACTTACCTGCTGTTCTTCTCCGATCGGCTGGACAAAGACATGTGACTACTAGAGACAGGGAGCGTGCGCAGTCGCGAGTCCGAAAATAGAGGGCGTGACCCCCGCGCTTGGCTCGATCGCGAGCTGCTTCTGCTGAATTTTGACGAAACATAGATATGGCGTGTCTATAGAGGAAGGGTAGCTTTACATGTGCACTAGCTTTGGAATCTCCTCCGTCCTCTCTCAAAGTGTTGGTGGCGAGCGTCCGGAAATTGGTAACTTATCCCGATCTCTGGGGTTATCGGACGTTCACTTCGATCGTTCATAAAATCGTTTGTGTGTAAGGCAGGACCGAGATTTCTCGGATACCTAGCCCACGTGTACCTGTCTATATAATATTGGTATTATCAGTTTATGTCTAGCTTATTTCATAGTCTTACAAACGCGTCCGAAAATTGATGGTGGTCGATAATTGATCGCTGACTCTAGTATGAGCAGGTATCTGATACAGTAGTTCAGTCACCTACCGGGTCTCAAGAGATGGAGGCCGGATGGAGGACTGCTTCTCTATGTGAAGCACGAGGGCCGTGCCCTTCTCTTTATAGGCAAAAAACTGGTTTTATGAAAAGCACTGAAGTGCAAACCCTCGGCGCACTGTGACGCGCACGCGTAAGTAAACGCATGTGCCGTATCAGGGCTGGGTTTAGTTTTAGCTGTAACTCGTGGTCTCTTTCCAGCTCGCGCAGAGTCTGACGCGGGCTAACTACACTACTAGATACATGCGAGAGGCAATACACGCCCTGCTTTTCATCTTCTGGTGCCTCCGAGGTACCACACCGTGGTAAGTCAGTTGTGTATTTGAATATTGGCTTTTTCGCGCTCTAGCTTTGCAACGGAGCAGTTTCAGAGAAAACCGTTCGAATTTTCTGACCTTCATTGCCCGTTCAGTAGGTGGTATCCTTTGTGAGACGAAAGAACATTCGAGAAGTGAGATGAAGAGTAACAGACAGACAGACAAACCCAACTACTGTAACCCTCGCTGAGCATGCGCGCCGAGGGTTAACAAGTAGCAGTTATGCCACGCGTTTGGCATGGCCGCCTGGAAGGGCGCGTATCATAGACGTATCGCTCAGGAATGCTTATAGTGTACACGCGCACACCCACACACCTGTTATGTTTAGCGCACAGCTTGTTGTGAGTACTAAACAGGCGCGCGATCCACGGCTTGGAGCCTTGTACCCCAACCTTTTCACTGCGCCAGTAGCGGCGGCTGTCACGTCTTCCTCCGCCACCTTCATTACCGCCGCCTTCATCATGTCCTTGGAGGGCACTAACGTCGTGTACTATGCGCGCGTAAACAAAAATGATAATGACGAAAGAATTATGTTTTGAAATCTGATTGGTACTGCCGCCTGTGCACAAGTCTATGATACGCGGTTCACCTGACCCCGAGTTTTGAGGGTGGGGTCAGGCTTTAATACCCACCATGTCACCTGTACTCAATGTGGCCTGCACAATGAAGTGGTGCATGTGGATTGGCTATTGAGCAGCGGCACTTTTGTGGGTGTGTGATGCTTTCATCTTTGAGTGTGGGAGGGTTGATGACCTTCCTATCTCTCAATGTCCCATGCACAAACCTGCACACACTTAGTGGTGAGGCTAATGAGAGACACTGTGGCCAATCTGTGGGTTTGTAAGAGCAGATAGTAGCATGCAGCAAGTGATGGGTTCCTGGGTGCTATGTAAACTGGTAGCTATCAGTTGTGGCTTCTCAGACATTAATTCCAGTGCTGGATGATCAAGTATGTATGGTGAGCTCTTACATGTAGAAAATACGTTTTGTTCGTTTGTCTTTTTTTAGAGGCTGTTACATGTTTATATTTATCATACAATTTTCTAAATCTAAGTCTCGATATAGTGTCTCATATTTTTGATGCATGTACTTTTTGAATAATATGGGAGTTCGGTCACTAGGTGCGTGGGGAGAGTTGGCTAGCCACAAAAGATATTTCACATAATGATCATTCATGATCTTTCATAATGTTAAAAGATATTGAAGTTCACCATCTAAATGAACACACATTCAGACAGTTTGGATGGTGAAATTCTATGTCTGAATGTGTGCTTATTCGGATGGTGAAATTCTATGTCTGAATGTGTGCTCATTCGGATGGTGAAATTCTATGTCTGAATGTGTGCTCATTTGGATGGTGAATTGCGTTGTGTTTGATGGACCCTGGACCTCTGCCACAGGAATATCTGTAAGTCACAGTTATGGGATGGGAATAGTGTTATGATTGCCACACCTATTGTGATGATTTCCATACCTATAGCGAAGAAAAACACTATTACCAGATGCTTTGACACAGGTGGACCCATCATGTCACTGTACAGACTGCCACAAAGACAGTACTGAATGTGTGCTTATTTGGATGGTGAATTTCGATGTCTGAATGTGTGCTCATTTGGATGGTGAATTTCTATGTTTGGATGGTGAATTTCTATGTCTGCGTTGTGTTTGATTGACCCTGGACCTCTGCCACATGAACAACTACTGCAATCCTCGCCGCCGAGGGTTAATTTTCTGTAAGTCACAGTTATGGGATGGGAATAGTGTCACACCTATTGTGATGATGCCATACCTATAGCGAAGAAAAACACTATTACCAGATGCTTTGACACAGGTGGAAGAGATGCTCATCTCCATCATGTCGCTGTACAGACTGCCACAGGGACAGTGCTGAATGTGTGCTTATTAGGACGGTGAATTTCTGTCTGAATGTGTGCTCATAGAGATAGTGAAATTCGAATGTGAACTCAAGGTTCAAAGTTTACAAACTCGCGCTAAACACACATACCTACCAACAATTCAGCTTTTTGCTTGACTATAATTATATCCCTCCAGAAAATCTCCAAATCCCTTTTTTTGTGCTAACCTGTCATGCATCATGCCTATACATTTTGAAGGGGGGGTGCCTTCCCTGCATCAAGTCAAATTGAAAAGGGGGGTCAAAGTGATAAGCAGGACTCTGGAAAATACTCCAGAAGAAAGTGGTATGGCATAATACCCACTTCCTTCCACAATGTCCCCCAGTATCTTCTGCTCTGTAAACTCTGGTGACTGTCTAGACAAATTAGCACTGCTGGAAACAGATATAATTGGATGAAAGTGCTTCAGCAAAAACATAAAAACCAAACAAAACAGCATAAACATGAATTTATCAGCTTTGCCTTCTGTTAGCAGAAAGTTGCAAACACATGATAGATGATGTGTATGACGTCCACCCTTCAATACACACACGCACGCACGCACGCACGCACGCACGCACGCACACACACAGCCCAAGTGTGAAGAAACTCCAGCTCGCTCGGGCTTGTACACGCAACAGCACAAGACACATTTTACACATAACATTTCTGGTGAACGAGCACAGTGGCATGGCCTCTGAACTGTTAACTGTAATACTTTCTTTTATCCTAAACAACTCAGTCAAAGTTTCTCACAGCATTCGCTCACCATTCTTTCTAGTATACGTTGGAAAATCACATTGAAAAAAGGCACTCAATCAAACCGAGTGTGGAGATCTCCTAGCAACAGCTCGCTCAGGTGCAAACATATCTGAGTGTGGAGATCGATCCTAGCAACAATTCACTCAGGTTCACACATAACCTAAGCAGGAGTTCTCTTAGCAACAACCCACTGGGGCTTGAACACTCAAAAGTGTTTTGTGCATCTGTGTGCAATGCATGAAGTATACAATGGCCTGCACCCCACCTCAAAAAATTAAAGTGCAAACCCTCGGCGCAGGCAGTTAAGCATAACGTTGGTAGCTAGATAGAAGTAGTGGGAATGTCCAACTTAATGCGCATGCGCATTTTCCGCAGAGTCCTGTCGAAGATCAGCTGACCCCTTTGGGGATCACCAGGTGGGCTGTGGGGGCAATGGAGATCGTATAGCCCGCCATAACGCGATTCGGGATGTGCTGTTCAATGCTGCCCAGTCTGCTGCTCTGGCTCCCACAAAAGAAGCCCCCAGTTTGGTGCCCGGTTTCAGCACTCGTCCAGCCGATATCCTTCTCCCAAACTGGTGCCGTGGGCGTCCAGCTGCACTAGACGTCAGTGTTATATCGCCACTGCAGCAGCTAACTCTGGCTGAGGCTGCTTCTTCTCCTGGCCATGCCCTTAGTGTTGGCGTTCGAAGGAAGCTGACATCCAACCTTCCATCCTGTCGAGCGGCTGGTGTGGACTTCCTCCCTATTGTTGTGGAGACACTAGGAGGTTGGTGCCCTGATGCCATTGCTACCATCCGTTCAATAGGTCGAGCATTGGGTCAGCGGCTGAACTCTACCGATCCGATTGACATGACAAAGCATCTTTTCGGCCGTCTAGCAATAGCCCTATGGCGAGGCAATGCGGGCCTCTGGATGCACCGCCATCCATCCCTTCCCCCTTCCATCGAGGGTCTACTTTAATTGTTAATTGTTAATTTTTATTTTTTCTTTGTTGTCTGTCGAATTTTCCTTGCTGTTTACTAATCATTTTTCCTCAGTTTCTTTTGCGTTGTATATTTCACTTATTCACAGTTTTCACTTACTTAAAAAAAAATGCCCGACTACGCATTAGCCGCAGAATGCCGGTAGCGCTCTAGCTTTGCAACGGAGAGAAAACCACCTTTATTTTCTGACCTTCGTCGCCCGTTGGGTAGATGGTATCGTTTCTGGGATGAACAGACGTTCGAGGAGTGAGATATAGAGTAACAGACAAACCCAACTACAGTACCCTCGCTGCGCATGCGTGCCGAGGGTAAATGACCACTAGAGCTGAGGAAATATCTGTTGGCTATTGGGTGAGTGTAAAGTGCAGTGTGCATCATGGAAGTGAGAGTAAAAAAAAACAGAGACAACAACAGAAACAATAATGAATGAAAAGCACTAAAGTCGGCGAAGTAGCTCGCAGAGAGTCTGACACGGGCTAGCTACAGTAGTAGATAGCACGCGAGAGGGTGACAAAGGCAATACTCATGGTGGTGGCTCACTCCTGCGGTTGAAAAGGAAGGGTATACTCCCACACAAGTTTGAGATATAAAAAAAAAGCTAGGAACCATCCCAGAGATGGTTTTCAAGCGCTCTACCGTGGTGCACACTCTGAGCTACAGTAGTATGGAAAAGGTTCAAGGGAAAGGGAGGTGAGTTTTTAGACGATAATGGAGTCATCATCATCAGCCACACCCCGGAGTCCCTCAAGCAGGAGATCGATCAGCGAGGACCTTTAGTACTGTAGCATCTTGTTGAAGGAAATAATTATGTCTAAACTACAAACGGTGAGCATAAATTCTTTGTTATTACCTTGTCTTCCCTTCTATTTGGAGAGTCTTAGTTGCTAAGGCGGGACCTGTTTATTCACTCTCAGAGAATCACATGACCTCAGTGTAACCTGATGCAATACAAACCAGGAACCATCTCTATGGGATCACTCCAGAGATGGTTTTCGTCCCTTATTTATATAGCGGGAGGACTCGTCAGCTGGTACTGGATACATACACAAAACGGTATGGTTTACACCTATGAAAATCGGGGGTTGGTCCTCATGTATTAAAAGTCCCTGCATATCTCGAACACGATGTGGGAGGTTCAAACAGAGAGTGGGCAAAATGTATGTCCAATGTAGCATTAGCAGCCAGCTACCCAGCCGAGATAAAAGGAGTGTGGCAAAAAAAATTATGAAATACCCATCGCAAGAATGCAATTCTCTTTTTTCCCCCTTCTTTCCACCCCCCTGCATGGTGCGTGATTGTGACATACCTTAGCGTGGAGATCGATCCTAGCAACAACTCACTCGGGTTCACACATAACCCGAGTGTGGAGACACTCCTAGCAACAACTCACTCGGGCACATTAGTGTGGAGAAAACAGACACCCACACTACTGCATATGCTGATTCGCCACTGGTAATGGGGTAGGTAGGTGTCTTCACACACTTTTTGCGCTCCCAGTGGACCTCGGACTCCCCAAACACCTCACTGGGAATGTCACCAGATGTGGCAGGAATCACACTTGGCTATCTCATCACCTTCCTCTTCCAGCATGCGACATGATCAGTGGAGCTCCGCTGTCTTTGGTTTTCTCTGGACACTCTCTCGCTCACCCAACGCAGGAAAACGAGAAACCTGGCAATTCTCAAGACAAGTTATGAGATGTGGCCTGATCTTACTGTGATCAAACCTAACACTACAAGGGTACATACCACTGCACAGGTCAAATGCATAGGCTATGGCCAGAACCCCGCAGTCGGAACCATTGGACTGTTTCTCAACGTCCATCATTACAACTTTTAGCTCAGAGCTCGGGACATGGACCATGTTCGCTATCAATCGCACAGTTTATTTGGACAGAGTCTTGTACAGACTGTCATACACATGGACAACACCACTCTGACAACCCAACTGTGGACACAACACACCAGTGGTTATTTCTGACGTGTGTGATTTGAACAAATTCCCAAGAGTGGACCTGAAACGCAAACACATCCTGCAGTGTGGGGGGTTGCAGGCCGGGCATGTCGGGGAAAAACTGAAGCAAGATCATCTGTGCAGCACAGATGATCTTGTCGGTGAGCCACCCTCTCGGAGACAAAACTACATCTCGATCACGACAGCTCAGAGTGTAGGCACCGTTACTTACCCACATTTATGGGGCCTCGTTTTCTTCTTCAGATGCTGAAGATAGCACAATGCTCTCAGAGGTCTTGGGAACACAGCAATTACAGCGTTCCTGCAGATCTGAGTCATTTGTTACACTGCGGAGCGAGATTCTGGGGGCTTTTCGCCACTCATCGAGTGGAATAGGAGAGCAATCAGTCATAGGAATAAGCTCAGTGCCAGAGAATGAGGTGTTCAGAACACCTTTCGAGCAGTAGAGCTGATACCAGCCAGCAAATTCCCCCACAAGGCGAGAGGGGGCCTGATAACCCCCCATACTTCTGCTGTGAATGCAGACATAATCCCCAACTTACATCTCGGGCTTCACGTCCTCTGAAGGGGCAGGTTTTACACTCTCCGGGGGACTTGAGACATGTTCTGGCTCAAATGTACTGGAATCTGCATGTCCCCTGGTTTACTACTGGCAGGAAACAGAGTACGGCCAGACAGACGATTCCTGTAACTCAAGGGACAGCCTCTCCTGTGTGCCCTCCCTTCAGCTCCACACGTACTGCAAACAAGTTCAATTTCTTCTGAGTCTGATGAGTCACCATCTGCGATGTCTTCACCAGACTCAGAGTCAGATATTAATTCCTCCACGGGACTGTCAGAGTGGGCCTCTTTTTTGGCATGACCTTTGTGGAAAGGGCAGTCTCTATGGCTCGATCCACATACAGCACAGTTCCCTTTCCCCTTGGCGTTTATCTTGCCCCGATTACTGCCTTTCCCTTTCCCTTTTTGGTTCACCCCATCATCACACACCATTTTTTCAACGTCACTATCACCACTGCCGCCAAAGTATGTATCATGGCCGTGTTCTTTTGACCACTTGATGCGCTCTATCCCTTCCTTGACACGCTTCTTTTTCAGTTCTATTCTACGTTTCTTCTTGGGAGTGGTCTTGGCCAACTCTAATTCTCTCTTCTCTCCGTACATTGTGCTTCTGTAGTGCTTCAACAATTCCTTCAAAAACGGGAAGCTTCATGCGTCGGTACAACTCCGGGAGCCAGTGATAACTAGTACCCAGCTTTGCATGCATGTAGGTCAGTGCTTGGAGCAACCCAAGATTAGTGGAGAGTTGGTAGTGAAGCCTCTCCAAGTAGATATCTTTGGACCGGAACCTAATCAATACGTTGTGAGAGGCTTCAACTGCATTAGAGTGGCCACGTTTGAGGATGGGGTGAACCAGTTTGCTGGCCTGTGCAGCCCTCTCTGTACATTCAATTTCGTACAACAGTGCATGAAACTCGCAATCCAGCTTCATTCTGGATTTGTACGGTTTTCCCTCACACTCTATTTGTTCTTTGTCACTACACTTTTTGCACGTGCAGACCCGAAGTGGGTGAAACTCACACTTTCCTCCCTCCCACTCGTGTATGTCACGTGCATGTTTAGGCAGTGCTTCCAGGCGTTTCACAAATTCCTCCTGTGACTGAGCCTCCATCAAAATTGACGTGAAATTTGTGTGCGCTGTAGCACTGTGGTTGCCCCCCTCACATTTACAGCGGAGCTCACCCAGAGCAGGAAAACTACCTTTGTACTTGTCCACCATCGTCTTGGACACCTTTTTCATCTTGTGACGCAATTCAAGTATTTTTTTGTGGGCACGCCCAGCATTTCCGCCACAGATCATTATTTCGGCATCAGGAAACACATCACTGACTGCCTTGGCCGAGGAGGAGTCTGCATCCTGCCAGTGGATGGCAACCTGCATTCCCTCCTCTTTGGCCCTACGAAATGTCAGCAGTTTCTAATTCTTCAAACATGTATCAAATACCACAGGATTCATGGAACACCCATCACAACAACAAGTAATGGAAAAGGTGCCACCCAACCCTTGGCTGTGCACATGAACGGAAACTGAATTTCCCTTACAACCAGGGGTTTTGCAGCCACAGACCTCATTCATCATTTCAAAAAATTTCCCCAATTGAGGCAAGGCAATAAAACC